CGCAGCATCTTTCAGTGCGTTTACATGCACAGTTTAATCGGACTAAGCTCATAATTCGTTTTTTCACCAAATTATTATTATCACTATTATTATTATTATAAGTAGTAGTAGTAACAGTAATAGTATTATTATATTAGTATTATTACCTTTATTTAACCAGGTTTGTCCTGTAGAGATCCAAGATTTTTTTTGCAAGAGAAACGTGGCCAAAAATGGCAGCACATACAGTTTCAAAATTACATTGATCATATAAAATACAAAAAATATTTTTAAAATTAGTTAAAAGAATTTACAAGATTATTTGAATGTTTGTATTCAAACAAAGCATTTGCACTCCCGAAGCCTGGATGTAATAGAATCTGACTTCTCTCCTTGTCCTCGTATACATGCAGCTGAGAAAATGGAATTATTGACATGAACAACTGTCAACAACAACAGCAGGTCCGTGTCAGACGTCAGAAGTGTCTACAACTGCTGCTGGGCATTTTGGAGCAGGAAGATGGAGCATCATACAGTGTTGTTTTTGTCCTACATGTTTGACACGCTAGTTTTTCTGCAGATGAGACGCACACTACTCCTCTTCTCTGGTGTTTTTGTTCCGGGGTTAAAGGGGCGTGGCACACGCGCACATTCATTGTCTGATCATACTCCGACTACGCTGGTTACATGGTAGAGAAAATCGAATTCTTGACGTGGACGTGTCCTCCTCCCCCAAACTAGGGGGCGATATGGGTCTTTTCAGTGGCGCTGTTCCTGGACCTTTTTTAAAGATGTCTCCGCTCCTCCTTTTGTGACACTCCATATACTTTGAAATGTCAGTTTCTGTCAAGACGGAAAGCATGACGGCGCTCCCCTTGTCGTTCCAAAAGTGGACGTTCTTTCGTGCTTCTTCTCTGGTGTTTTTGTTACACATCCGTGGCACACGGCACATGCATTGTCCGATTATACTCCGACTACGCCAGTTACATGGTAGAGAAAATTGAATTCCAATCGCATTGTCTGGGTGTCTTAATCAGAGTTCTCAAACTCCGATTATAGTCTGACTAAGGTGTTTACATGCACTTCAGTTGTCCAGTCTTGATCGGAATAAGGTGATAATTCGGTTTTCTCAAGTGTCATGGAAACCAACTGAGTGATTTCTAATTCTACGTTGAAAGGACAAATGGACTGGAAACGTCTCAACTAAGTTCAGTCGTCCTTTCCATGCAGAGATTTCCACTCCAGAGTCCTGTGAGTAACCTATTGGAGAGCCGCCTCATTAGTTGGTTTAAAATAAAATGAAAACCATAAAAATCTGTTTTATTTCCGATCATTTTAACCCTTAAATGACTCTTAAACTTTGTCCCTCAGCACTTTAAATAAGAAACTTGCATGAAAAAAAAAGTTCATCTCTGATTTGAAGTTTTGACGTTTTTCCGACATTAATGCTGACGATCGGATTGAATCTGAAGGTCTGAACCTGCTCAGATGACGGTGATCAGCAGTAAAAGGACAGGTGTGATTTAGCACGGTTATTAGGATATGTGAGGAGTGGACATTAGCCCCTAAGTGTAGCTGAGGAGATGGATGAGCGCTGAAAGAGAGGATGGTCAAAGAAGAAGAGGCCGTTAATCGATTGACAGAACGGGAGGTTTTCGTCTTAAAGCAGCAGCTGCTTCTCCTTCTACACCTCCTCTCCTCTATTGATTACACATCAGGATTCATCTTTCTGCATGAGAACAAAGACCCCTCTGCTTTATTTATCGGGATTTGATGAATGTGTGTCTGCACAGACATCTGAGAGGGTCTCTGCATGTTTCCTAGAGTTTCATCTGCTGATATTACAGTGCTCTGTTTCTCTGAGACAGCAGCGCTGAGAGGGCGGCGCTGAGAGGGGAAGTCTTCATCAGGTAAGGGGTGTCAGGAATAGAGAGAGAGAGAGGGAAAAAAAAGAGAGAGAGGGAGAAAGGAGGGGCGGGCCGAGCCACACCTGGTACACCTGTGAGCGTTAGATTAAATATGGTCGATGAGACCTGAGAGAATCAAACTCTGAAAGGGTTCATCAGAGTTTCAGAGCGAGAGAGACAAAAAAGGAGGAGGGAAAAACAGACAAGAAAATCAATAGAAACAGAACAAAAAAAGGGAGAGAGAACGAAAGGAAGAAAAAAGGGGCATAGAAGAAGAGCAGAAAAAGAGAGAAAGAAAGACCAGAAATAAGAGAGGGCAGACAAGAAAAAAACTACAGAATGAAAAAATGGAGGGGAAAATAGAAGGAAAAGAAGTGGACAAAGGAGATTTATGAGAGAAAGGAAGAAAATAAGAAAAGAGAAGAAGCAGAAAAAGAGGAATAAAAAAAGGGAGAACTGAAAAAAGAGGAAAGAGTGAAAGAAGTAAAGAGGAGGAAGGAAAAAAGACAAGAAAGATGAGAAGATCAGAAGAAACAGAGCAAAAAAAGGAAACGAAAAAAGAGGGAATTAAAGGAAGAAAAAAGCAGGACAGAGAAGAAGCGATGAAAAAGAGAGAAAGTAGGAACCAGAAATAAAAGAGGGAAGACGAGAAAGAAAAAGTGGAAGAGGAAACAGAAGAAAAAGGAGGAGACGAAGTGGATGAAGGAGATTCCTGAGAAAAAGGAAGAAAAGATAAGAAGAAAAAGAGGAATAACAAAAAAAGAAGAACCAAAAAGGGAAGAGGAAAAAGATGAGAAAGAAAAAAGAGGTAAAAGAGAGAGAGAAAGAAGGACAGAGGACATGTCTGTCCTTCTGTCTGTTCTTCTGTCTGTCCCTCTGTCTGTTCTGATTCTCGGACTCTGACCCGCGAGAATCTTCCAGGTTTTTTTCTGCTCGGATTCTAGATCAATAAAAACTTTTAAACTTGTGATCCTGAGACTGAAGAACTGAGGACCAGTTCTGGTTCTAGTTCTGGTTCTTGGTGGTCTGCTTCAGTCTCAGCTCTGAGTGGTTTCTGGTCTGTGTTTGGACCCTGACACTCTGGTTTACGGGGTCTCTTTTGTCCCTCTGAGCCCCCCGCCCTCGGTCTCTGGACCATTCAGACCCCCTCCTCTGTAATCCTTTTAAGTGTAAATTTGTCTCACAGCAGGTTTGGGGTTCAAGAGTCAGTCCTGGTTCAGGACACCCGGTCTACACACAGACCTTCAGCGGAGGACCAAGACCAGACGACATGAACTCTTTTTAAAAGACGGATATTTACAGTTTATGTCTAACAAGTTTATAAAACTTAAAAAAGAAAATGTCAGACTATATTATAAAATAGATGATGTGAAGATCTTCTTCCTACAGTCACTAAAGGGTTAAAAAGTGTCTCCTGGACGTCCTTGAGGGGACAGATTTAATTAAGTGTCCTCAGGTCGTCTTTTCAGTGAAATGTTGGAGAGTCTGTCTGGAGTTTAGAGCAGTGGTTCCTAACTGGTGGGTCCCGACCCACAAATGGGTCATGAACACATTTTGGATGGGTCGTAACCATAAACTGTATCTAGAATGGACGCCGTCTGCCTCCTCGCTTGGTGAAGCCATTCAGAAAACAGCACCCTCTGGTGACGGGCTGCAGTATAGGTCAGAAATCCTGCCTCCTTATGGAGCTGTGGACAAACTAAAATTAATAAAATTAATAAATTAATGACACAGAATATAAATGTTTCTCCCTCCTGGTTGTGATGTTAACATGTAGTTACTGTCAGACTGGTTTGTGCTCAAGCCCTCTTTTTTCTGTACAGCTCCATTTTTAAAAGTTACTAGGGGGTTCATGTTTTCTATGATTGACATCTGATACAGCCTATGGGCGTTCAGGGATTGCATAGCTCACCCAGGGGATACGCTGTTTGAGACGAGTGTCATCTCAGCGACTCTCAGCGAATCTTCCGAGAGTTGTAACAGTTGGTCAAAAAAGTAAATATTCAATGTGCTTCTGATGTTTGACATGTCTTTTATTTTGAAAAATAGTTTATTTTGAAAGGCATGCATTATGTCATGGTCCTCCTCAGTTTCTTACTAATGTGGCCTGAATGCATTAAAAATACATTTTTTTAAAGGCTTTATTTTGTGCAATTTGATATTTATTCACTTTTGTCCATCTTATATATATATATATATATATATATATATATATATATATATATATATACTGTATATATACTGTATATATATCAGTGGCGATTGCTCTAAGACTGCATTTCAAGGGAAGCTCAGCTTCCCTTGAAATGTCACCCCCCCAAAAAAAAGAAAAAGTGGTGAAATACGTACTGCTGTGTGTACATTTCATGAACTTAATACGCGCTAGAAAGCCTTCATCTTTTGTTCAGAATCAGCTTCTTATCACACTGTGATAAGAAGCTGATTCTACACAACTTCGTTCTCATTCATCCTCGCAGCGCCTCAGCGCTTTACACAGCCGGACGCCCAGCGTCTGCTGACTTCAATGTGGAAGCTCAAAAGTGGGTTGTTCCAGCAGCGAAACGAGACGCTCATTGGATAAATGCTGGGCTTTGTCCCGCCCATCGGACGCTCAGCTTTTCTGGAGTTCTATGGCGAGAGGGCGGTCCCGACTTTCTTCCAGACTCCGAGCTTCTGCATCCATGATTGGATGAGCTGTCTGAGGCGAAATCCTTTTTTGATTGACAGCTAAACAAGTGAATCAGCGATATTGAAGAATAAAACATCTACCAGAGCATTTTCCAAGTTATTCATTCAGTTGTTCTTAACTGCTCCGGAGACTTTACCGATCCTCAGTGACTTTTGTCTTTGTTAAAAATGACTGCCGTTGTGTTTGGCGACTCTGTTCTGTTACATACAAATAAACAAACACAATTATGATGTAGGCCAGAAAAATGAGCTTCCCCTCCTTGAAAGACCAGCAGCCGCCACTGATATATATATATATATATATATATATATATACATATTTTGTATATATATATATATATATATATATATATACATATATTCATTTCATTTCATTTTTTTTCTTTTAACCAAACCTCGCTCATGGGATGGGTGGGTGGGTGGAGAGGGTATGTACCTTCTTAAGTACACCTTTGTACTGCAAATTATATATGCTTTTCTTTTCCTATTTCTTTTTTTTTTTTCACTATTTATGTAATTATGTTAACTCAATGTTGTATTATTACCATTATTATTTGTGTATGTTTTTGTTCTGTATTTCTTTTCTCTTTATTTTGATTATACCTTAGTTTGTACCCTCATATAGTCATAGCTAAGATGAATCCAATTTTATTATCATTATATTTATTTATATTTTTTGTATTTTTCAGCACTTCTGTTTGTGTAAAAATTGAGCAAAAAACGGTTTTACCTAATTTGCATTCTTTAATTCAAATTAAAAAAATATATTAAAAAAACATTCTCCTATACAGACCTGCAGGGGCCTCACACTGCTGCTGCAGGGGCCCGGCAGGAGAACTCATCTGTAAGGGGGGCTCCCAGAAACCGTCTGTGGATCTGAGATCGAGATCCAAGAGGACGTGCACACCTGGATCAGAGTCTGACTGACATCATCCTCATCCTCATCATGGCCGTATCATGATCTTAGGTATCGACGGAAGGTTTCGGACCCCCTCCCCCCTCCTCTGTAATATCAGAAAAGCTTCTCCTGACCCTCTTATGGAGTCAGAGGAGGTTATCGATCCGATCAGCCCATGATCTGAGGCGTCTGCAGAACTGGGGGAGGGAGGGGTTTAAGTGCCGGGGGGTCTGAACCTCCTTTTACTCCCCTCATGACCAGACGCCCCCCCAGGTCAAAGGTCAGAGGTGGTTCACCCGGCCGGTAGAGGTTGTTCAGCATGAAGATGGCAGCAGGGTTAATTTAATATAAACACACACGGCTCTAAAATAAAACCTTTAAAGAGAGAGACAGGCGGGGCGGGCAAGGGGGGCAGGGCTAATCGAATGACCATCTGATTTAACTGCCAAAGTATTTTCCTTCGCATCTTTAATCAATGCTTAAGACCCATAACGGGCCAGGTCAGCGGAGAGAGATCTCCATAATCGATGAGGTTCAGCAGGTTAGTGCACACCCTCCTCCTCCTCCTCTTCTTCATGGACTTATTCCTCCTCAGAGTGTCTGTCAGACCGGGAAATACTGTGGCGGCTCAGAGGGAGGCGGAGTCAGATCAGTTCATTCGGTCTGAGGGAACGGGTCCAGCAGCCGTCAGCGCCTGATTGGCTGAGATTCTGGAGGAAGCTGACCCACTTGTGAACTTCTGCTTCTTCATTCAGATTTAACCGTTTATCCTTCAGGCTCCAGTGAACCAGGTTCTCTCTGAAAGAAAGTTCTGGTCTGGGTGGACACAGATGTAGATCCTAAACCTAGAGATATTATGTAAAACTGAGGACGCAGCATCTATGATTTACAGTTCTTCGTTGAAAGGACAACTGGACTTACTTGAGGGTCCAGCAGCTGTCAGCGCCTGATTAGCTGAGGTTCTGGACGGAGCTGACCCACATGCGAACCTCTGCTTCTTCATTCAGATTTACCATTTAACCACAAATCCATCTCGCCACAGGACATCTCCGCTTCCCTATCTACTACCCTCACCGCATCCCCTCCCCCACCTCCTGCCGAACTTGCTCAACTACTACAATAACACTCTATCCTCCTGCCTGGACCAGCTCGCACCCCTCAAAACAAGAACAGTTTCATTGAGACATTCCGCCCCCTGGTTTACCTCAGAACTGCACAAAATGAAATCTCACAAACGCCAACTAGAACGTCTCCACCACAAAACCGGCCTCACCGTCCATCTCCAAGCATACACTGACCGCCTCCACCTATACAGAACAGCCCTCAAGTCCGCCCGCTCATCCTATTACTCCAACCTCATCCACTCCAGCTCCAGCAACCAAAAGACTCTTTTCACCACAGTCAAAAAACTTCTCCACCCCATAGACACCATCTCCACCACCTTCACCCCGGAAAAGTGTAACTCATTCCTCTCATCTTTTCAAACCAAAATCAACACAATCTACAACTCCCTTCCCCCACCTTCCATTCCCAGCTCCTCCCCTCCTCCCCTCATCCCATCAGCACTCTCCCGTTTCTCACCTGTTTCTCCAACCGACGTGACCAATTTCATCTGCTCCATGTCATCATCCACCTGCATCCTGGATCCCATCCCATCCTCCCTCATCAAGCACTGCCTCCCCGTCATCTCTCCCATCATTACACAGATCATCAACTCCTCCCTCAACTCTACCACTGTTCCCCCTTCACTCAAACTGGCCGCTGTCACCCCCATGCTCAAAAAACCTGGACTCAACCCCGACGATATCAATAACTTCCGGCCCATCTCCAACCTCCCTTTCCTGTCGAAAATCCTGGAACGAGTCATTTCATCACAGATAAAAGCCCACCCCACAACAATAACAATCTTTACGAACAGTTTCAATCAGGATTCCGCACCCACCACAGCACTGAAACTGCCCTCATCAAAGTCACAAACGACCTCCTCATCTCTGCTGACTCCGGCCAACTCTCCATCCTCATCCTCCTTGACCTCTCAGCCGCTTTTGACACCATTGACCACGCCATCCTCCTGTCCCGCCTACACTCCCTCCTCAATATCACAGACACCGCTCTTAACTGGATCCGTTCATATCTCACAAACCGGAATCACTTCATCCACATCAACAACTGCTCCTCCACAACTGCCCCCGTGTCCCAAGGTGTCCCCCAGGGTTCAGTACTTGGTCCTCTCCTCTTCATCATCTACCTCCTCCCTCTCGGCCACATCCTCCGTCAACACAATCTCCATTTCCACTGCTATGCTGATGACATTCAATTGTACATCTCTTCCACCTCCATCACCCCCCAGACCCAACGCTCCCTCTCAAACTGCCTCACTGATATAAAAAACTGGATGGACAGCAACCTTCTAAAGCTAAACTATGACAAAACAGATCTCATCATCATTGGCCCAAAATCCCTCACCTCCACAGTCACAGACTTTCATCTCTCCATTAACAACTCCACCCTCTCCCCCTCCCCCCACTGTCGCAACCTTGGTATTCTCTTTGACAGCAACCTCACCTTCACACAGCATGTAAAGCAAATCACCAAAACAGCATACTACCACCTCAAAAACATTGCCCGCCTCCGCCCCTCCCTCTCCTGCTCTGCAGCCGAAACCCTCATACATGCATTCATCTCATCCCGTCTAGACTATTGCAACAGTCTCCTCCACGGCACTACCTCCACTCTCCTCAATAAACTTCAGCTCATCCAGAACTCTGCCGCCCGCCTCCCCCCCCCCCCCGCACCCTCCGCTCCGCCGATGCCAACCTCCTCACAGTTCCCTCGACCAAGCACCGAACCTGGGGGGACAGAGCTTTCTCAGTCACCGCCCCCACCCTATGGAACTCACTCCCACTGGACCTCAGAAACTGCTCCAACCTTACCAGATTCAAAACCCAGCTCAAAACTCACCTTTTCCGCACTGCTTTTAATCTTCCTTAGCCCCCCCCCCCCCCCGTTGATTGTTGATTTTACCTGATTTTACTTGATTTTTAATTGATATTGATGTATTTTATTGTATATTGATGTATGTTTTTATTTATGTACAGCGTCTTTGAGTCCGTGAAAAGCGCTTTACAAATAAAATGTATTATAATTATTATTATTATTTATCCTTCAGACTCCAGTGAACCAGGTTCTCTCTGAAAGAAAGTTCTGGTCTGGGTGGACACAGATGTAGATCCTTAACCGAGAGATACTATGTAAATCTGAGGATGCAGCATCTATGATTTATAGTTGTTCGTTGAAAGGACAACTGGACTTACTTGAGATGTTTCGTCTTAGGCAAAACATCTCAAGTAAGTCCAGTTGTCCATTCTATGTCGCGATTCCCACTCCAGACTCCTGTCTGTTTTTGATGCCCCTCTGTATATATAAATATACTTTATATGTATTTACACTACAGGCCAAAAGTTTGGAAGCAAGATCAGATTTGTACAAAAAAAGATCATAGTTTCATATATATAATTTGCAACACAATAAACATGACTATTGTGTTAAGAGTAACTTATCAGAAGACATTTTGACTATTATTATTAGGTATTTGAATTATTGTTGCTTCGACTTTGCTTTCTTTAAAGTAAACTCCTCTGGCTTTAACAACAGCTTGGCATATACCAGGTATTCGTTTCACAAGTTTTTTAAGGTATGTTCAAGGGATTGCATTCCAAGCTTTCTTAAGTTCATTAAAAAGAGACTGCTGATTCGTGGGACGCGTTTTTCTGACCGATCGATCCAATTCATCCCGCACAAGCTCAATTGGAGAAAGGTCTACAGACTGAGTGGGCCAAATCATCTTTTGAAGAACACCTTCCTCTTCTTTTTTGTCTAGGTAACCCTGACAGAGCTTGGCAGAGTGCTTAGGGTCATTGTCTTGCTGCAAAACAAACTTATGAGCCACAAGTCTGAGTCCAGATGGAACAGTTAGTACTTGAGCCAAGAACCAAAATTTCACATATCAGTACCACCTGGGTGGGCAAATTCTAGTTGTGATTTTTTTATTGCTATACATCCCTACAATAAGTTTTTATATGATAGACCTTGGTAACTGGTAGCTTTATTGTAGTTATCACTCATTGAAGTAATAGAGTGCAGCTGTTCAAAAATGAAAAATCGCCTTCCTTCAAAATGAGCTTTCTTTCATTTTAACCCGTCATTTAGGTGTGTTTGAACTATTGGCTAGCCATAGAGACTTGTATTAACCCCCTAAGTAGTATTTCAAGTAATTTATCTAATACAGGTGTGTATATATAAGCTTCAATTAGCCAATTGTCAGGTCTAAATCAAGGTCTAAATTAAGGATATTTTTTTACTTAGAAGTAGAAGTAAAGTAAATGCAGACTAATAGCATTATAATAACAAAACTTTAATATGACACTGACATATTTTCAATGCAGGAACTCAATATACAATCATCCTGGCGCAGGGCAAGAAGACATTAGCAACAAAATAAGATCTACTGATGTATACACTCAGCCCATTGCTGAGACAGGTGCAGTCTGATGGTTTGCATGTCCTCACACACTTGCAGGATAGCAACTGCAAGACCGCATCTGGTGCTGGGGAACTACGCATCCACTGTATTTCCAGCTGCCCTTCGTCATTTATGGTCCACCCATGGTCCTTGGGGCTTGGTACAGATGGCTTGGTATGAAGAGACCGTCTCCAGATAGCAGCCTGGTAGTTGGCACGAATCGGTTGCATTAATACGCAATCCTGACATGGTGTAAGCTGGCTGGACTCAACTTTAGCCAAGGTCCTGCATGAAGGTGGTGATAGTGAAAAGATTGATGTTGTCTTTGACGTTTACAAGGACATGTCAATCAAAAATTCATAAAGACTAAACAGAGGTGCAGACATGGGGATCCAGTTCAGAAACATTGTTTCTGGCCACAATATTCAGCAGTGGAGGAAACTTCTCTGCAGCCCTGCCAGCAAAGCCGGTCTCATCAAGTTCTTGGTGGAGGAATGGAGTTTTTCTCAGATGATTGTATAGAGTGTATACATCAGTAGATCTTATTTTGTTGCTAATGTCTTCTTGCCCTGCACCAGCCAGGATGATTGTATATTGAGTTCCTGCATTGAAAATATGTCAGTGTCATATTAAGGTTGTGTTATTATAATGCTATTAGTCTGCATTTACTTTACTTCTACTTCTAAGTCAAAAAATATCCTTAATTTAGGCCTTGATTTAGACCTGACAATTGGCTAATTGAAGCTTATATATACACACCTGTATTAGATAAATTACTTGAAATACTACTTAGGGGGTTAATACAAGTCTCTATGGCTAGCCAATAGTTCAAACACACCTAAATGAGAGGTTAAAATGAAAGAAAGCTAATTTTGAAGGAAGGCGATTTTTCATTTTTGAACAGCTGCACTCTATTACTTCAATGAGTGATAACTACAATAAAGCTACCAGTTACCAAGGTCTATCATACAAAAACTTATTGTAGGGATGTATAGCAATAAAAAAATCACAACTAGAATTTGCCCACCCAGGTGGTACTGATATGTGAAATTTTGGTTCTTGGCTCAAGTGCTATAAGTTGTGACTCTTGCAAATGCTTTTAACCCTAAAACTAAGCCCTTATTATCTTTTGCTGACATATATTTAGCAATGTTCTGTTAACATCAATGTATATCTAAAGGTAAATGGAGTAAAATGGTGCATTTCCATGAAAAAAACATCTGATCATGGAGTAAATACATCCCAAAATACATAAAACTCATGCTGGATTTTAAAAAAAGCATTGTGAATAAAAACTTGAAGTTACTCCCAACTGTTCGGCCTGTACTGGCCTTGCTTCCAAACTTTTGGCCTGTAGTGTATATATGTAAATATATATTGTATTTATATATACACTTTAGCCTAAAATTATCCATACCTGGGGCCCTCCTCAGTACACTAACACGGCCGTTCTGATTGTTTGACTTGTTCTCTAAATACTTTAACGAGGAGGAAGAAGAGGCGGCGGCACAAACACACTCTTCGCTCTGACTCCTAACCCCAGTTCTGCTGAGCTTAGCCGGCTCTCTGATTTTATTTCCTTTTATTGGACTTTACAGCGGACAGTAAAACACGGTTTGATCCCCGCAGATGTTAAAGAGTAAAGAGCCTCCACAGAGCTGCACCGTCCCGTCACCGGCCTGCCAATAAAAAATGAAAACCTATTTAAGCCAATGGAGGAGCAGCGGTGTGTCTGCGGTCAGTCAATAAAGCAAACAGAAGGGGGGGGGGGGGGGGGGTCGGATCAGCTGAGTGACGAGCAGAGGAGACAGCAAGGTCATGAGAACTGAGAACTGACACAGAAACAGGTCCAGTTCATCAGGAACCCTTTCGCAGGAAAACCACCACAGTGATCTCAGACCCTCTGTGAGCATGTATTCACCTGCTATGAGCTGATGATGATGATATGAAAGATGAAGATGATGATGGTGATAATAATAAACATGATGATGATTCTGATAAAGATTAAGATGAAGCTGATAAAGATGAAGATGATTGTGATGATGATGATGAGAAAGATGAAGATGAAAAAGATGATGATCAAGATGATTGTGATGATAATGATAAATCTGATGAAGATGATGATAAGCATGACAATGATTCCAATAAAGATAATGATAAAGATGATAAAGATGATGATGATGAGGATCATGAAGATGACAATAAACATGATGATGATTCTGATAAAGATGAAGATAATTAAGATGAAAAAGATGATGATGATAAAGATGATGATGTTAATGATGATGATGATTATAAAGATGATGATAAATATTAAGATGTTGAGGATGAAGATGAATCTAATGAAGATAATGATAAACATGTTGATGATACTGATAAAGATGATGATATAGATGGTGATGATGATGATTATAGAGATAAAGATGTTGGAGGTGAAACTGCTGAAGATGATGATAAACATACTGATAAAGACGATGATGATAAAAATAATGATGATGATTAGGTGAAGATGATAAAGATGATGATGATAAAGATAGAGGATAAAGATGATGATAAACATACTGATGATACTGATAAAGATAATGATGATAAAGATAAAGATGATTAAGAGACTGATGCTGATGATGACAATGATGATGATGATGATAAAGAAAGTGAAGATACTGATAAAGATGATGATGATCATGATGAAGATGATTAAGATGATTATAAAGATGATCAGGATGATAAAGATGATGAAGATGATAATGAGGATGATAATAATGAAGATGATGATGCTCCTCTCTGAAATGGACTGACAGGAACCCCCCCCACACACATACACACACACAGACACACACATTAAGGT